CCTGTCTAGTGCACAGTGCATCCCTGCTCCGTTGGCCACACCCATCCCAGTTAGCGATGAACCGGCAACCCCTGTAGTGACCCCATGCACTGACCTGTCGGAGAGCCCAAGCAGCCAGGCATTGCCTCCCATGCCCTACTCTGTTCCGGTGTCTGAGCACATGGATGATTGCAGCAGTGTTGTCATCAAGGACGAGCTAGACAGTCTTCTGGAATGCATCCCCAAGAAAGTTAGTGAGGTCGGTGTGAAACAGACACAGATGACAAGAAATTAACTAGCCATACACTCTCTTACTGAGTGGCTGTTTTTTCTATCGTTATGACTGTCTCATCACCAAAGGTGTTCATATTTATTTTTTGCAGAATCCAGTCCAGGGTGCTATCCCCACCAACCTTCCCAACACGGCAGTTGGTCTCCGGCCTCCTTACTCGCCTAATCTTCCAGCTCCGTCATCTCAGCTTCCCCCAGCCTTCTTCAGCTCCTCCCTTAATGATTTGCCCCCCCTGGAGCCTTACCCTCCATTGGCCCAGCGGGACCAGGGCTCCACCCAGGCGCAGGACGTACTGGGGGGCTTCTCCACGGGGGCGACAGATGGAGAAGGGAAGGCAGGAGTCGCTGCTGGTGGGCTAGACTCGTTGTCTGAATACACCCTCCCTGGTGAGCTAAAAGTCTTTAGTTTTTGTTTTTATCTGACTGTGGGGAAAAGTATCATTTATTAGTAATGTTGTGCTAACTTGTGTTGGTATGTCGGTAGGTCCAAATGGCAGAGTGAGTAATGTGAACATTTTTAAACTCCAGTTAGTAGAAATCTTCTACTGATGTTGACAAATTCTACATGATATGATGTCATATTTTTTAAAGCATGCACGGCTGTAATGATTTGCATTCAAGACAGTGTGTATTATTAGTGAATGCCAGAAATGAACTGGAAACAGGACTTGCCTCAATTAATTGCCTTGCCTTAATTCTATAAAATACTGTTGAAGGAGCACAGTAATACAAAGGATGCATGAGCCGGTTTCAACATGCTTTTTATTTACTTGGCAGGAAAAGTTAAATGTGTGCCTTAAAATTCAGATTAAGACCATAAGGAACAATAAACAGGTTGTCTCTGGTCTTCAGGGGGACGAGTATGTCACAGCTTCATCCCTGGAATGCGTAACCATACTGCTTCACATTCAGTGAGTAATGCACTCAATATATCAGTCTTTTCATCATATCTTACAAGATAGACTGCTTTTACATTCGCAAGGAAAAAGTAATCGTACTGTTTGCAATTTCCTGGTTTTGTGTATAAAATGGTCATGAAATGTGATCTGATCTTCATTAATGTCACAAATCTCCACAAACACGTGCTGATAAAACACAGTGATGATCTTTTATGCCTTTATTAAACACACCCATTAAACATACAAAGTGATGGTGGAAAAATTAATTAATTGGGTGTTTTTATAAATCAAGGTAGATTTAAACCACACCTCCATTCTTGTTTCATTGATTGGACTCCAGGTTTGCTAACACCTGACTTCATTTGACATCAGAAGCCTGGTGTTGCTGTTACTTCCTCCGCCATCACTTTGTATGTTTAATGGGTGCGTTCAGTAAAGACATGAAATGAAAGATCATGACTGTTTGTTTGTTTTGTCAGCTTGGGAATACTGTGTTTATTGTAGTGTTGCTTTCGTCAACGAAAATTATGACTAAATATCGTCGTCAATGAACCTTTATCGCGTGACGAAAACGAGACAAGACGCAATGAAAATGCTGGTCGTGTGACGATGACTATAACTAAATATATAATGCAATATTGTTGACCAAAAAAAACGAGACTAAATGTGGTTCACAAAATAAAAACTATGCTAAAATGTCTCTTCATTTTCGTTGACCCAAACGAGAAGAAACGAAATGTTATAACGTTATTTCGTCTCGTTCAGTCGCGTTATTATTATTATTTTGCAGTATTTCTGTTTCCTGTGTCTCGCTTCAGGGGCCGCATCAGGTCGCACTGCGCAGATGCAGGCGACATCACTTCCTTAAAAAAAGATGGGGAGAAATGCAGCCACAAAATCACACAAAATGTGTATTGGATGTATTCTTGAGTCTCTAAGGTAACAATAATATAATAAGATAACCTTGTTTGAAATGGGTTTGACTAAAAGAAACGTTTGGTTTCATCTATACTACTAGGTACTTATACTATATTGACTGGGTTAAATAGAATTGCATTACTAAAAAGAGACTAAAATACAATTTTCATTGACTAAAACTAGACTAAAATGTCATCAGTCTTCGTCAACTAAAACTAGACTAGACTAAAAAGAGTATGAATGTTACTAAAACTAATAAAAACTAAAATTAAAACAGGCCGCCAAAAACAACTCGAGTTTATTGATATTTGACTTTGGTGAAGATCAGATCACATTTCATGACCAATTTCTGCAGAAAAACGGGAAATTTCAAATGGTGCCATTACAGTACTTTTTCTTGCAACTGTATTTTGAATTGTTAATTTTTAATGATACTGTTCCATTGACAGTCCATCACATCTTCTTATACTTTTCTTCAGAACGGTCCAGCAGGAACCAACTTGTCTCTGCTCTCCAGGAATCCTCTGGCGGCCACACATGAGTTTCGGCAGGCCTGTCATGCCTGTTACAGTCGAATAGGTTGGTTCAAGTCACTGAAACCTGAGTCACTTTTTTCTTAACTACCCTTTGTCCATTTACTCTTTTCCTTACTTTTTCCAAATATTCACAGTGGGATGTTGCAGTGTTTCTCTCTCCACCAGCCCATGAACTGTGTGTTCTGTATCGAATGTGGAATGTCCAAGCATTGTTTATGTAACATTTAGTCATTAAAGACTTTGTAGGAAGCACTGTTGGAGGCCAGCAGGAAATGTGATAGCACTGTAACTCTTGCTCACAGGTCCTCGAGTGATGGACTACAAGTACCAGCCAGAGGCAGCACATCGCTGCAAGAGAGATGTGCTGCTATGTCGCCTCAAAAACACAGATGACCCCACCTGGAAGAGGATCCGGCCTCGGCCTGCACGGAACAACTTCCTGGGGGCATTTGTACTCTGTAAAGGTCTGTATGCACTTTGAATTAAAGACCTAAATGTATGTTGTAGGTGAAAAAACAAACTGGGAAATGGCTAGATTTTTAGTTAGTATTTTAGTTTTTATTTCCATACTCACTCTCCATCCTCTCTGGGTGCTGCAGAGGTACAAGAGCGTCAGGAGTGCCAGTATGGGGAGAACTGTACGTTTGCTTACTGCCAGGAGGAGATTGATGTGTGGACCCAAGAGAGGAAGGGTGCGCTGAGCCGAGAGCTGCTGTTTGATCCACTGGGCAGCACAGAGAGACGGGCACTCAGCGTCACCAGACTGCTACAGCTCCATATGGGCATGTTTATGTTCCTCTGTGAGGTAAGGTTGCAGTCTGTGAGAGACTCTGAGCGCTTCATTTTGGCACACCTGACTTATTTGCCTCTCTTTCATCTTTCTAAAGGAATGTTTTGACAGTAAGCCTCGCATCATCAGCAAACGCAGCAAAGAAAATTTAGCAGTCTGCTCAAACCTCACAGCTCGACACCCGTTCGATGATAACAAGTGAGCCTATAGTGTTCATGACTTGTTTTTGTTCAAATATAAAGTCCTACTGTTAGATAAAGCAGAACTGATAAAGACACTGTTGTACTGTAAAAACCTTTTTCCTGCAGGTGCCTGGTACATGTGGTGAGGTCAGCCAACGTGCGCTACAGTAAGGTGCGTCCCTTGCACCCCCTCTGTCAGTTTGATGTGTGTCGTCACGAGGTTCGCTACGGCTGCCAGCGTGAGGACAGCTGCTCTTTCGCACACTCTGTTATTGAGCTCAAATGCTGGGTCCTACAGCAGGACACCGGTGGGTACAACGCACATCAGTTGATTCTTCAGTTTGTTAAAAATGGTTTCACAGTGTCACAGTGCCAACAAAAGACTATCAATGCAATCTAATAACATAAGAGATGAATCATTTTAAGGTGTCTTCACTGAGCTGTCCCTAATATTTCCTTTAGGTATCACCCATGAGGAGATGGTGCAGGAGTCCAAAAGGCACTGGCAAAGGCTGGAGCAGAATGCGCAGAAGCAGCAGAAGGTGAAGCAGGAAAGGGCACTGAGATAATTGCACTGTTTATGTTTCTCCTTTCTCTTCACCAGTTAAGTCTGAGCAGTCCCCTCTTTGTTGCAGTTGTTATCACAGCAAATTTCCTGTATTAGCTTTGTAGGGTGAGGACAGTCTGTCCTCCTCTGATGCATATGGCAGCCATTTCCTTTTTCCCTAGAGGTTCATATTAACTGAGACCTTGCCCCGCCAATAAGAGCCACTAGTGAAGTCAAGAAGGCTACATTCACATAACAGTCCTAACTGCTCAATTCCAGTTTTGTTGTCGGATCCAGTCTTTTTGTATTAATCGCTCATATCCATGTTTGTAAGTGACCTGTATGCAGCCTCATGTGTGAACACCAGACGGGTCCTAAACTATCATGGCTGTGCACATTTAACTGAGATGTCTACAAGAATAACAACATTGTCATTTGTATGGCAGGCAAATCAGTTTCCACAGAAACTGCTCAGCTACGACATTTTCCTTCCAGTTTGACTCAATCAGAACGAATGTGAAACATCGTTGTCTCTCAACTGACTTGTGTCATTGTTGCCTTCGTCCATGTTTATTTTTACTGGTCTGCGAGGGGCCGACACCAAACGATTATGACAGGAAATATGTGCAGTGGAGTGAGGCATTAAAAATAACACGTGAACTCTGATCGGACCGTCAAAGATCATATCTGAATCAGATCTAGAACCACATATACAAGTGGTCCAGATCTGTGAAAAGATCAGCTTGTTTCAGCAGGTAAGCATAGCCAAGGAGATGCTCCCCCACTCATGAACACGGTTTGCTAGAATTCACGTCTTATGAGGTTGAAGGCAAGATTCTAAAGCATCCTTGCACCCTGCATCCTCTGTCATTCACTCCCGACTACAGTTTTGCAAGAATTTTAGATTAAGACCATAAAGTAACTTGTTGCATCTTTAGTTTCGCCTACAATTTGTTATTGGTTTGTTTAGATGCCTGTTGTTTAATTACAAGTGAAATATAGCTGAAAAAAAATCCTCAGGTAGCTGAACAGCTGTTTAATGATGTCCAAGTGTACATACAGTGGGTACGGAAAGTATTCAGACCCCCTTTCAAATTTTTCAGTATATACAAACACAGATGGACTCAAATGAAGGTGTAGAACCATCTCAGGGATGATCAGAAGAAATGGACAGCACCTAAGTTAAATATATGAGTGTCACAGCAAAGGGTCTGAATACTTATGACCATGTGATATTTCAGTTTTTCTTTTTTTAATAAATCTGCAAAAATGTCAAACATTCTGTGTTTTTCTGTCAATATGGGGTGCTGTGTGTACATTAATGAGGAAAAAAATGAACTTAAATGATTTTAGCATATGGCTGCAATATAACAAAGAGTGAAAAATTTAAGGGGGTCTGAATACTTTACGTACCCACTGTACACTGGCTATAAGAGTCTAGATGGTAAAGCAAACATTTATTCATTAATTTTATTGATCTTGGCATGTTGCTCTGTCTTTCAGCCGATCCATATCCCTCATCCGAGCAGCAGTTTACCTGCAGGAGGAGTAGGGGGGATGGCAGGTGGGGGCGGAGGAGTCGGGGTAGATGGCCTAGGTGGTGGCAGTGTGAGCCCAGTGGGAGGATTGGGAGCAGTAGCGGGAAGGGGACGACCTTTTAACCTGAAAATGAAGTTTGTGTGTGGCCAGTGCTGGAGAGAAGGACAGGTCAACGAGCCCGACAAAAACCTCAAGTACTGCACTGCCAAAGCACGGCACAGGTGAAGCCTGTTGTCTGCACCCACACGCACCGCGATTTGGGTTCTTCACACAGTCCAAGTTTCACATGTGATCTTTAAGACTGGCTGTAAAAGTTGAACAAGTCGCTGGGACTTGGACTACTGATTTCCTGTCATTATAACATTGTTATAGCGAGGGACAAAAGTGTGTACCAAAGAACAAAATGAAACTCCTGTCTCTTGTTTGCTTTTGGTCCTTTGCTTTTCTTAGGTTTGTTTCCTTTGTTTGAACTGATGTTGGCATTCTGTCTCTCTAGCTGGACGAAGGAGCGTCGAGTTCTCTTGGTGAAGTCTTTCGAGAAGAAGAAGTGGGTTGTAGTTCGCCCTCTGCCCTTCTCCCGCACCTATCCACAGCAATATGATGTGAGTTTCCACTTTTTCCTTTGGTCTTCTTCTATCCTTCCACCCCTCCACATTTCTCAGATGCACAATCCACCAGACTCTGTTTTTGCCCTGGTTGTTGTAAACCTCTATCTATGTAGCTCTGTCTTCTTAAGCTGTTCTCAGATGGGACGCGGTGGGCGCTGCGCTCTGTGACGACAGCTAGTGTAGATTGCCAGCCTCTTCAATGGTTGCCTTCAACCCCCTTCTGAAATTTTTTGATTATTTAAAAATAAACATTGGTTAACGCAGCACTTCAGTAATTGTAGGAGTACCATATTCATGTGATTTAGGAATAGTTCATTTTAATGTTTCATTAATGTTGCATTAGTTCTCCTACACAGCTGATGGAGGCATATAATTGACAGTCTGTTTCACTAAGACTTGGCCCTAAAGAGCCAGTTTGGGCTCAATATTGTATTATTTCTAAATTTAATAAAGAAGAACATGTTAAAATAGAGTTGCAAGTCTGTGAAAACAGATGGTATCAGCTGTTTAATGGACTCAGCACCTGGAGAAGCAAGGCTTGTGTGCGTGTGTTCTGCATATGAATTACTTGGTCATATAATTCACAAGCAACAAAAAAGTGACTTTCACAACTTCTAGGGGCACAATTGCAATTTTCAACAAGGATTCAACAGAAAAATCAGCATTTGTGTCTGCGTCACTCTTTAACGCTTGGCTTTTGCCCACGTGTCACTCAGATGTGTGTGCATGTGATGAAGCAGAAGAA